AAATACATACTGGACTTTCATCTGCTGGCTCAGCCTGGCCTTTGCAGGCATTTGGAGAATGAATGAGTGGATGGGAAGTTTCTGCCTAAATCTAGCTTTATGCCTCTCAAACAAAAAAAAATTTGAAACAAGAAGAAATGTAACTCACACTCTGTTTTAACCACACCTGTGCTTGCTTAGAATGCACCAGGATCCCATAGGGGAACTAGTTCTAATCCCGGCCACCCTGCTTCCCATCCAGCTCCCTACTTGTGGCCTAGGAGAGCAGTTGAGGACAGCACAAGACCTTGGGACCCTGCATCCACGTGGGAGACCTGGAAGAAGCTCCTAGCTCCTGCCTTCAGATTGGTTCAGCTCTTGTTGTTGTGGCCCTTGGGAAGTGAATCATCAGATGGAAGATCTTCCTCTCTGTCTCTCCTCCTCTCTGTATATCTACTTTTTCAATAAAAACAAATAAATCTTAAAAAAAGAAAAGAAAAGCAGCTTTTAAAGTAAGGATCCATGTAGCTAGGGAGATACAGAAGTCTGGTGGTACTTGCTCCAGTGATGGACCAGTCCTTTAGCTTGCTGCTGCTAGTCTAGGGCTGCTGAGTTTTCAAGCCTCTCTGTCTTGTGGCTGCACAGGTGTCTGAGAGTCTCCTTAAACGGCCACCTGTAGGTGACAGGTGCAGGCTTATCTCCTGCACACATGCAAAGCTAAGGCTGGCTTTTGGATCATTCGTAGTTGTAGGCACTTTGACAAAATCATAAGAAAGTATCTCTTGGTGTTCTTGGTATTTTTCTCTAAGGTTTAAAGGTATAATACCAAGCTACATATTTTAGTAACAAGATCAATGACAATCTTGCCAACTATCTGAACATTAGATTCCATAATGGAGAAAAATAGGAAAAAAATTAACATGTAATGCACTTTCCCAATAGAATTATTTGTTGAGATTCGAGAACAGCATTTTCAAAACTTTTTATCTGGTGTGTCACACACTGTCAGAGTTAACTTCTATCCTCACTCAAATCAAACAAGCACCACGTATAGATAAAGTCAATAGCACAGGGGTGTTCTGGCCTGTGCTCTCCCCAGCCATGGCAGGGACGGACTCTGGTGTAGACTGTGACAGAACAACTGCCGGGCACTGTTTTAGTAACCTAGAGGTTTGGCTCAGTCTAGGTCAGCATTTTTCAAATTGGCTACATAATAAAATTACCTGGGAAAGCTTAAAAAGCATGCCTATGCTAGGTTCCAAGCCCAGACATTTTGATCTAATTTGGTGGGAGAAGTTTTAAAATCTGTCAGGTGGTTAGCGTAGATGGCTGTTCTTCAGAACCACTGAATGGCCTGTCAGCCCTGACAACTACAATGGATGAGGCCTGGTTCCAGTTCTTGCCAGAAGCTCTGAGTTAGATTTCAGACAGATGCACTCTTTCAAGATTTCAAGTCATCTGGTATGCTAAAACAGCCCCAGTGCATGGGTGCTTGCTCAAACACCTCATCCCCCAAAGGTATGAAGTGGTGCAGCAGTGGGATGGTTGTGCCATCCTTCAGTGTCAGTATGAGGCATGAGTTTTCTCAGGGCACTATCATAAAAAGGCTATCAAGTCACTACACATTGTCAAAACCCTGCTTTAATATCAACTTTGCCATTTACTTCTGTTAGCAAAAGGAAGTTAATTCTTTGGCTTGTGCGTCTGCATGTTTGCAAAAAATGTTTCTCTATGAATTGGACAAGCTAATCTCCCAGGGTACCATGACCTCCTACAGTGCTGTGAGCAGCACCAACTTCTAATATCTCTTAGGATCAGAAATTCATTTTTATGTTTTATTTAATTTGCTCCTAATTCTTCCTTAGTTATTGCTATGGGCAGGTGGGGTGCCACTGTGGTTTCTATCATTTTCATTTCACACATGTGGAGGTTGAGTTGGGTTAGACATTACCCATTATGTGATCTGAGCATTCCATCAATACTTTGATCTATCAAATGGTTTCATGTTTTCTCATAGGATTTTAAAAGACAAGGCAGGAAGTAACAGATATGGTATGATCTATGAAAACTGCTATTTGCATTCCTTAGGTAAAATGATTGGTGATCAACATAGAATATTGCCCTGAACACAATGAACTCCTGTTATATGAAAGAAACCTAAAAAAAAAAATACTGCAAAACAGGTGAATAAAACACTCTCATCTACTTAGTCTCTGGGGGTCATACTGCCAAGGTCAACAATCTCAGCTCATGAACATCTTGTCAATGTGCTGGCCTCTGCTTCCTGACACTAACAATAACTTCTTCTGGCACACCTGACTCTGGAGTTTCATGAGACTGAGGACAGACTTTCTTCTGCACGGCTTCCTATCTCATCAGCCACTGTGAGCCCTCACAGAGCCCAGGGACAAGATCCTATCAGATTGTCACCACTAGTGCCAAACACTAAGGGGAATTTTTAAATGTGCCTTATCAAGTTCTCTGGAATACTGTGTTTGATCACTTCTGTTAAGCTCCAGAAACCCTGGAACACCTCTGGGTGAGGAGGGAAGTATTTTGCATGCTTGGCCAAATCTGCAGTGTTCTGAGAGGGGCCTGCACGGCATATGCACTGCAGAACCATGGCACTGCTGAATCCTGGCATGCACCACTTCCTTGCATTACGAAATGTCTGTCTGTCAGAACAGAATGTCCCAAGCAGTGGGTGTCAATTGCAATGGAGGAACTCTGAAGTCAACCTGAGTTAAGTGGCATTTTTGCCCTAATTTAAAATGCGATGAAGCTGAAATAGAAAAACATTTCCAGTTTTCTGCAATGTACAAATTTTTCCAGTAAATATGGTCCATTTACATTTAGATATCATCATGCATACTGTTTAAAAACCAACTGGAGGAAGGGGAGGAAGAATTCTATATTTACAAAACTGTATAACGAAAAATAATGACAATTTAATAATTATGTCATTATGATGATGACAATTATTAAAACTGTGCACAAAAGAACCAATATACTCAGTCACATGATATCTTAAAACTATGTATGATTCTCTGAAGTATTTGAAATTACACCTTGAAGCAAAGTGGCAATATGTACCATGGTGTATATCATATAACTCACTAAGATTTTTTCTATGAATGAATATTAAGTCAGTCATCCATGATCAGGTTAAGTGATGTATCCTTGAGAATAATAAATGTCATTATTGATCATGGGAGAAAAACAATGGAACCTTCTTGATTGTTCTGCAATAAGGAAATAGAATATCCAAAAGAAGCACAAAGTAAGGCATCATGAAAAGTTTTCCTCTCTGGGAAAATCTTTGCGAGACACTGTTAAGTAATAAAAAAAAACGTATGTATGACTTCAGATTGCAATTTTATTTTAAAATTGCTTAGGAAAAGCTAAAAGAGAACATAATCTTTGTCGTGTGTTTTCACAGTGATAGATGAGGCGCTCTATTAGCTGCAGTAAAGAAAAAGTGTTTTAATTTTGAATCAAAAACTTGAAAAAGTATATGAAAATATTAAAAGTAGTTTCTTAAATGATGGACTGAACATGATTACTTAAGAATGTTGTCCTCAATTTTCTCTGCATACAGAGAACAGCTTCACACATCCCCCTTCACTGTCGGTGAGTAATACACTCGCTATTGCATCTTTCTGCTTGGCTCTTTAATAATACTGGCACAGACTGAGCAGAGAACATTCACCATATTCATGGGGTCTTCAGAAAGTTTTGGAAAAGCAATTTATAAAAACTATTCATCAAAATACAGCTGGCACCGAATTACATATATCTCTCAGTTCAGTTTTCTAGGACTTTGTGAGATGCTTCTGGACTTATTCACACTGATGTGCAAACCAGTGATGATTCATTTCAAGAGAAACTTTTGATCACTGGCTATGAATGCTAATGAGAAGTTTCACTGACAAGGTTGACACTACTGAATTCAAAAGAATCCAAATCATCTAAGCACTTCAGTTCTTTTTCCTTGAAAGGTTTACTTCTCCTTATGCAACGTGTCCTGGGGATGCCATTGCAGCCTGAGCTTGAGGGCACAGGGTCCCAGCTAGCCAGCATTATCTGTACCTTGTCTGGCTCCCCCTAAGCATTTTACTGGTGGACACTGACCCACTATCAGGAATAGGGCTATTGTTCTTCTGATAAGTTTCTTCATGTTTTGACATTCTCACCTTTGAGCAGAGCCCAGCAAAACAGGAAGGAATTCACTTCTGCGTGAGCAGACTCTTCCTCTCTTCCTTCCTTTGGTGTTTTCTTCCAGTGAAGAAATGAGAAGGATGACTAGTTCTTCCCAAATAATACTGTTAATTTGTTTCATTCCTAAAATAGCCGTGAGCTGTTGAATGAACCTCAATTTTAAAATGGTACTAATTACTTTAGACGTTGCTATGGCTAATGTTGCCACATTTTACTTTTGTAGAGCAACACACTTGGCAATGTAATGTATATATCTAAATGATTTGATAAGAGAATTCAAATGAAAGAAATGGGAAAGAAGGCTATAATCTTCTGTGCTATAAATGACTAATTATAGATGAAAATATATGACTTACCTGTAAACAATAGTGCTTACCCTTTTTCTATGCCAGACACTCAAAAACAGATATCATACAAGAATAATTTGCAATGACCAAAATAACCCAAAGATTATTGGTTTTCATTAGCAAATGTTGTCAAACAGTCTTAAGCACTGAGCCCATTAACAAGATTTAAACATGTATTTTATAAAGCTAAAAATTGGTTTAAATGTAAACACTACAAAGGGAAGCATGTCAAAATACTAATCTGATTGCATTGCTCAACAGTCAGCAAAAACCGTAAAAATGTAAATTCATTGCCTTGATTCAGCTGCCATAATTATTGTTCCGTTATGTGCCCTATTTGTTTCTGCCTTCAATTTTTTCCCTTTTATTACAAGGACATACAATCAGAGATGGAGATAACACTAAAATAAAATCACCATAGCCAGAGCAATGATCAATAAAATGTAAAAGGCCAACCTTTATTCCACTTTGAACAAGTTTGTGAATGTCCAAATAAGGCTCCTTGAAAATGTCTCCTTCGGGGGTCAGTATCTTCACGTATCCTTCTCTTTCCAGAATGAAGAGGCGATGTGAGCCATCCCCGCTGTGCAAGGCACCCACAGGCTGTCGCAGCCCACTCACAACCTCCTGAATGCAGAAGCAGTTGTGTTTGTGCTTTCTAAACAAATGAAAGAAAATCAGTAAGCTTTTCTTGAGATGCAGGAGGTAAGAAATATACTTGGCATCCTTTTTATAATGTAACCCCTTTAGGAATCAAATATACATACATATATGCCTTAATATTATATATATTATCTAAATTAATATAATTCCTTTTGAGAATCATGAAGTATAGGTGACCCAATGGTCACAATTCGATTTCAGGATTCTTTAAACTCTTTTCACTGAAAAACAACAAAACAGCCTTCTGTCAGAATGTAAAAGCAAGACTCAAAACATGCATTTTAACATTTCATTATCTCATTATCTCATCTTTCACTAACTATAATTAAAATTAGCTCTTACTCACAATAATTAAATCTTGCAAAAAGGCACTCACAGAGAAAGTTCTAAGGTCTATTTATAAAAATCGGATTTGCTAATAATAATTGTGCTGAGTATTCCCACAGACCCATAAGCTAAAACAATCATAAAATTCACGGTTAAAACTATTCCCATAAAATTCAGATGAATCATAGAGGAGCCAAGCTCATAACAGAAGATTAGTAGTCTAAGTATTAAAAGCATTTAAGTTATGATTTCAGAGAAGCAAAGTACCAAAAAAAAAATGTAATAAGGCAACTACCAAAAAGAAAAAAAAATTGACATCTGGAGGATAGAGCAACTGAGTACAAGCACAGACAGTAGATTCACAAAACCACAAGATTTGTCAGTTGGGCTTTTATTTTTTTAAATTAAGGAGTATTTATCTTTATGAACCTGCTAATCTCTTCCACTTTGTCATATTCTTCCATTTGGTCCAAGTAGTTAGATGCCGGTCCTCTGATTTGTTTTCTTGGAAAATCTGGAAAGCACAACCCGCCATCTTTTCTTGCATAGTAATAGCAAAACTCATCAGCAGTTGTTTGAAGGAAACCTTCAAAAGCAATGTAAAATGCATAATTAGAACATTTAATGCCATAGTAAGACCACCTCATTTAAAGGATATAAGGGGGCTTTAAGAAATTCATGGGAAACAGAATTCAAAGATGTTTATTTGGGTGCAAAAATATTTACAACCCAGGCATAGCTTTCTTTTTAATAATGAACTTCAGTGAATATTGGAAAAACTTGTACATTATGGGGAAGAGGGATTTTTAGAAACGATATGAATATTCCAGGGAAAAACTACACAAAAAGAGGGATTGGCAATCAGATTTCTTCTCTAGCTAGAATTCAAGAGCTTCAAGATAACTGAAGTAATTTTTTGTGCTGGATATCTGAAAGGTTTGTATGAGATACATTTAAGGAAAATCTAGAATTAACCTTGCTAGTGTATTGCTTGTGTTCCAGCTTCCTCAGTCACCATACATCACACTTGTGAATGTTTCTCACCTAGTGTTCTGTATTTCTTTCTACAAGACCTCTTGAAAGGAACATACACTCTAAAGAGACATGCCATAAGGCATCAGCTCACCCTTCTGTAAGTCTTGCTGTGCTGTTGCTCACTGATGATGAAATAATTAGTCTAATAGATATCACACAGTCATTATAGACTGTGGAAAGTGACTGACTCACTGTACAATGACCATGCAATGAACTGACGCTAATGATAGAGGCTCTATTTTCAAATACGTAGACTCTTTTTCTGTACCTCACAGGTGATAAAGATCATTTTGGAACAAAAATATTCAAGATATTCCTTCTCTCTTCTCAAGCAGAAAAGATGACATACTACCAAGTCTAAACAAACATTTAAAAGCTTTACTGAAAGATTTTTTTTCATAAAAATAATGAATTTTTATCAGATAAGTATCAACTATTTTTGAACAAGGTACAAAAGAACTTTACCATAGAAAAGCATCTTAATTTGTGATAATAAGATATTGGTTTTGGGGGGTTCTGTTGATAAGATTCATTTCCATCTTCTGACTTCTGCTTTTGAAACATGATGTTGTTACCAGCACAGAAATAGACCACAGACTGCAATCATCAGCTCCTGTATTTCTGCTCCTGGTCTCATGCCTTTAATCACATTTTAAGTTCTGGTTTTTACCTAATGCCTTAGAGTATCACATCCTATCAGATTTGTGATAAAGACACTGGGTAACTTAGTTGACAGTAATACAACAAATTCAGGTTTAGCAGGAATTTTATTTATCTATCTATCTATCTATCTATCTATCTATCTATCTATCTATCTATTTACCTCTCCAAGGAGAGAAGAGAGAGACAGATAGAAAGGAGATAGAGCTATCTTCCATCTTGCTGGTTGGCTCCCCAAATACAAGCAACAGCCATGACTGGGCCAGGTCAAAGCTGACAATTGGGAAGTCAAAGCCTGGGTTTCTCTTGGAGTTGGAAAGGGATCCAGGTCTTCAGCCACTACCTGCTGCCTCCTGGGGCACACATTAGCAGGAAGCTAGATCAGAGATGGAGCCGGGACTCGAACCTAGGGACTACAATATGGGATGCATATTTAAGCACTGCACAGTCCTGAATACAAATTTGTAATCTGCCAAAGGAAGCTTATCGATTGAGCATGAAGATCACTGAAAGTTTACCTTCTTTCTTTTTTTGAGATTTATTTACTTGAAAGTAAGCAGCGGTTGGAGGGGGAGATGGAAAGAGATTGATTCCATCCACTGGTTCGTTTCTGAGATAAACACAACAGCCAACGCTGGGCCAGGCTGAAGGTTGGAGCCAGGAGCTTCATCTGGGTTTCCTATATGGGTGGCAGAGGCCCAGACACTTGAATCATTTTCCCCTTCTTTCCCAGGCCATTAGCAAGGAGCTAGATCACAAGTGGAGCAGCTGGGACACAAACCAGTGCAGAGTGGTAAGGTAGGCAGCTTCACCTGCTGTGCCAAAACACTGGCCACTGAAAGTTTGTTTTGTGTGAGCTTGACCTAAGTCCCCTCAAACCCAAAACAAATCTTACAATATGAGGGTTTTAAACAGTCAAAGCTGGATGTACATTTTGACTTAACTTTTGGGTGAAATATGTCAGCCCTTCATTTCTGAGACTGGCAATTCAAGGTCAATTGCAGGTGGGATTACAGGTAGGGGTGTTGTCTTTGGGAACCAGATAAGAAAGCCAGATAACCTGGGGAGAGTTTGTGTGTGGAGCAGCAGCTGCGAGGGGCACTCCACGGAAGGGGAAAGGAATATGGATGGTGATCTTCCTTTGAAAAAAATTGAAAGACGAGAAGCTGGGGAGAAAAAAGAAGACCTACCAGCATTTACTGATCTGCAATTCACTGTCAGTTATAGATCATTTTTCTTCTCCATTCACTAGGGGCTAGAGAGTCAAATGAAAACTTGTGGGAGTGTGAAAGAAGTGTGCTTGAGATAAAAAGAAAAGAGGGAAAACTGAATTGGTTCAACAAAATTTTTGCACACTTTTGTGCTAGATATTATTTTGGAGACAAGTCAATATTGCACATGCAAAAAGACTGTCATAATATGGATATATTTATAACAGAATGTGTGAGAGTTTTTTCCTCATGTGCTGCTTGCCTGCAGGGTAATAGAAACATTTCAAAATGGAATTAAAAAGGAATTTCAAGTTTGCTTTCTATTAAAAAAAATCTGTGTGCTGTGGCATTACAGTCTGGAAACTGATACTATGGACAATACTGATGGCTTAATCTATTTTATAAGGACTTGAAATGAGAACAAAAAAGAGTAAATGAGAAACCATTTTCCAATAGAATAAGCATGAGGACATATTCATAAACTCTTCTATAAACACCCAGAGGTTTCATGCTTTTTTGACCAATTGAACACAGAATGCTAATAATGATTACTCCTACTATCTTATAAAATCTCAACAGAAATAATCTAAGTGTGAAGAATGGAACCAGCTCAGAAGATTTTCACATTCAAAAAAGGAGCATTTTATTATGCTGTTGATATTTGAATGGTGAGGTCTAATACCTTTTTATTAGTGTCTTCCTTAAATGACCCAATGTGTTGTGGACAATGATGAATAAGGTAATCTTACTGCGACACACCCCCATGGATCTAGCTTTAGGACACTGGGTTAACAGCGACCTCCAGGGAACATACAGTACACTTCTTGGTAGCCCTGTGTTTGGAAGAACGCACTGAGCAGCCTTTTCCTAAAACGGCATCTTTGGATTATCTGGCACATAATACCATGGTCAGGTCTACTTATGATGAAGACACATTGCGTATTCCAGCAGCTGCGTTTTTTTTTTTTTTTTAAGATTCCTGATTAGTGATCAATGATCCAGGACTTATAACCATCTCCTGTCTTTTGAGTTCAGTCCTGTTATAACACAAAGCACCTTATAAAAAGCCTGTTGTAAAACAAGTACTGCATGTGGAGAATTCAGAGTTCCCGCATTTCTTTCAGCATGTGTTGCAGCAAAGTTATTTTTCCTCTTCTACATGCTGCTAATTGTGATAGAGAAAAAAAAAGAGAAAGGTCACTTGAGACCATTTCTTAGCAGAGGCCAGTATATTCCGTGGTACCCATCCATTCCCTCTGGTGTGTTATCCTTGGGCTAATAAAATACATGTGTAAGAGAGCTGACAGGGCTAGGTCTTACACTGAATCAGAGAAAACCAGTGGAATCAAATCCATGACCTTGGCCTCATTAGCAACAGGATTAAACCAACTGAACTAATTGTATGCACACATTTCATACCACAATAACCTACCCCTGAGGAGATGATAGCCTGAAAGTGATAAAATCATAATGGTAAAAGTGCCAGGAGTTATTCATATATCCCACCCTGGACCCAGCGCCACTTCCTCTTCCTCACAGCTAAAGAAATTCGTGCCAGTCTAGCCATCCACCAATCACCCGGCATTCCATCTGAGAATCCCACCCCCAATCTTCCAGCCCCTTCCCCAACCCCGCCCACTCACCAATCATCCCTAAGTATTCACCCACAATCCCATGGGGCCTGCTCTCAATCCCTCCTAATCCTGCCCGCCCCCCACCCCCACACACCTTGCAGGCCTACCTGAACATAAGGGGACCTCAAGTACCTCCATCTCGCCTTTTTTCTCCCTTTTCCCCTTTTTTCCTCCCCGCTGATCTCTACCACCACCACCTCGTTTCTGCCCCGCTGGAATAAACCTAAGATACCTCGTTGCGTTTGGTGTTTTCAGCTCACGGTAAAGAACCAGGTTGCAGGAATAAGCTGTGCGTAATATCATAATAACGTATGAACTAGAACTCTAAACTGTTTTAAATAACTAACTAACAAAGAGATGTTAGGAAGGAGGCCCACAGCTACCCACTGCTATGTTTTCTGCAGAATGTATTTTAGTGAGTAGGAAGGTACCTCATCCTGCTTATTTGAGCAGAAGACTGTTCGGGTTGAGCAGAGTTCCTGTAATTTTTTAATGCAGTCTGGGGAATTTTTAGAAAATTTAAAAATTGATCTTCCCAAACAAAATCACACTGGGAAATCATAAAATTACTACAGCTCTAGTGTATGTTTACTTTTTAATTTTTTTTCTCATTTTCTGGAGAATAATCAGATCATGACTTTTTAAATCAATACTTCTAGAAGGCAGCTATCCTTCAGGTATGCTAGGGCACTACAAAAACCATATGGACCCAATCCCTATATATGAAGTGTCTTCAAAAAATGTTGGTTAAAATGCAAATTATGAAAAAGTATAAGAATTAAAGTAACTTATTTTCAAAATTCCACTGTCCATGAACTGCTTTTTAAAGAACTCTCATTTAGCAGCATTCCAAGTCTAAAATCTGAAATCTAAAGTGCTACAAAATCAAAAAGGTTTTGAGCATCATTTTTGGACTCACAAAGTTTTGGATTTCAGAGCCCTCTTTTGCATCTTCAAACAAGGATTGTTCAAACTGTATTCTTTTTTTTTTTTAAGATTTATTTTATTTTTATTAGAAAGGTGGATATACAGAGAGGAGAGACAGAGAGGAAGATCTTCCATCCGATGATTCACTCCCCAAGTGAGCGCAACGGTCAATATGCTGATCTGAAGCCAGGAACCTCTTCGGGGTCTCCCACATGGGTGCAGGGTCCCAAAGCTTTGGGCCATCCTCGACTGCTTTCCCAGGCCACAAGCAGGAAGCTGGATGGGAAGAGGGGCTGCCGGGATTAGAACTGGCGCCCATATGGGATCCTGGGCATGCAAGGCGAGGACCTTAACCACTGCACCATCGCACCGGGCCCTCAAACTGTATTCTAAAGTGGCTGCTCTCTGAAAGCCATGAAGGTGCAAGCAAGGGCTTTATCCCTTTTCATATTTGTTTCTTCATGTTCCTGGCAATAGGAAAAAGCATGAAGCTGTCTCAGTGTTGTTTTCTCTCTAATAATCCCTATCATCATTGGTCTTCTTTTAGCAGAAGACATCCCTTACGGAACCTTCCTCACAAATTTTCAATTTGTGGAAAGATGAAGCTCTCATGAACAGTCAAATCTGTTGACCAGTTTTTTTTTTTATAAAAGAGCATAACCAAGTAGCTGTTTTTCCATAATCTGGAACTTCAGAGAAAAGTAAACCATATCATCACACAAACCGCAGAAGGTGAAACTCACAAATTTGCTCTCCTAGCAATTTCTGAAAATGCAGTGTTGTACAAATGTAAAGACCAGGCTGTGATGGGGGCAGGTGCTAATGCCAGGATTATCATTTTACCCATCACACTTCAAGACATGGCAATCTGCCCGCCAAGGAGCAGTCTGGCTAACAAATCAATTCACTTAAGCAACAGGCAAAGAACAGGCTGTTCCAGCTCACTTTGGGGACAAGTCTTCAGAGTGATTATTAACATCTGACACATGCAGGGGCAGTGCCCTTCGCTTGTCTCCGAAGTCTTCCCAAGCCTCCAGAAAGCAGCCTTGCCACTCCGTCCACCTCTGGAGTGTAGCTTTCATCTGGTTATCTTTCAGGGCAGCCTGGGTGGTCACCAAAAGCACTTGACATCTTGATGCACTTCAGCAGTTTTACATATATACAAACTTTGTGGAAAAATAAATTTGTCATTCGTCACCACATATGTTGATCTGGGGAGTGAGGTGCTTGTAGTTTTGCCTCTGAGCTATTGGCTCTCCTTCAACGCATACTGCATCCTCTGGGGGTTTTGTCTCACAAGTTAAAATAACTTCAAACAGATAAAGATCCCCAAAGATGAGTACCCAAATCTAGCATGTTGTATGTTATCTAAAGGAGATAGAGGTAAATGGAAATGCTAAACTGTAAAGACAGAGTTGAAATTTGCAGCAAACCTTTATGCTATCTTATCTGTTATCTCCTCTTTGCAGGCCATCTGGGTAACCATGACCTACTCTGCTTTGGGAAATGTAATAAAGGGGAAGAAATAGCTGCCTTAACCAAAGTCTTAGACACATGAATATAGTGTATAAAGACAATAATAATATTTCACATTGAAGTTTTTTAGATACGTGTTATGCTATACCAAATGGAACATGCAACTGTAGCCAAAATGTTATCTTAGGTTATTATGATAATTCTAAGTTTTTTTTTAAACAAGTTTTAAAAAATCTCTCAAGTGCATTCTATGGCTTTTAAAGTTTTCCCTGTTCTTAAATATCATTTAAGTTTGTAAACTCTAACTTCAGAAGATTTGTTTATATCTGACTGCCTAGTGAAACAGAATTTGTCTCATCAAATTCTTTCCTTCTTCTTTGCTGAGTCTTTCAGCTAAAGCAATAACAATAGAGTTTGCAAACTTCATGATAAACTTTATCAATGTCTAGGAACTGATACTAGTTTAGAGTTTGAAATGCAACTCTGACCAGTATATTGATGACACTGTGTGCATATGAACTTCCTGTATTTATCATTGTTCAAGTGTGACTGAAGGATTCTGCTTCTCCTGCAGCTCAGCTTTTCTCTTCCTCAGATGGGTTGGACTCCACTGTCCCGATTGACCTCATAAGGTTCTGGAGCAGCAAATTAATCATTTTATGTAAGCTCTTAAGGCAGTGATCTTGGAAGTCACTGGAAATTTTGCAATTATGTAGCAACAGGTTGCCTTGCTGTTGATGCTAATGAGGACAGAGGATTCCAGCAAGAAATTTGTACTGAGAATGCAAAATCTTTAAAAGATAGCCAACCCACTGTGTCATCAGCTTCACAAGAAACCAAACACAGTTCCACAAAGCTAGTACTGGTAGACTGAGATCACAATATTCCTTTCCATAGCAATAAAACATGTGAATCTGGCAAGGTTACCAAGGAAGGAAAGTAGAGACTTTAAAAGGTGAGCTACATGGTGAGAAAACAAAAACCCAAACAGAAACTTCTAGTAAACAAGATTTAAGGATGCATGTTCCACAAAGGTACTTAGTAGTAGTCATTGTGTTTCTGCACAGATTTACCTGGAAGATGGCCTCGGCAAGTGTAAAAGAACTCTTTGCAATAGTCTTTGCAGAGCAGGGGAAGGACAAGGTCTCTTTCCAAGACTTCTCGCTCAGGTGAGTGGAACAGGCTCTGAGCATGTGGAGAGCAAAGTGCACACTTGATCTCGTCCAGCAGCTTCCCACATTCTGTGTTGTTGGTCACAGAAAATATCTGAAAGCCATAAGTCAAAAACAAATGTCTTTTCAGTTATGTGATGCTGATTATTTTTGCCCACCGGTAAGTAGAAAAGTTTAATTTAGCCAATAAGTTTTCTGAAAAATATAATTGTGTCACGATACAGAATGCCTTTATAACGATAACAGTACAGTCCCTGAGACTGGACTGGGACAACAAAAGGCAGGAACTCTTGAAGTGCTTCTTGCCCTTGCAAATCAGTCTGTTCCGCTAACAGGTGTGAAAAGGTAAAAAGACAATGGCAATTCAATGCTTTCTCACTTCCTTCTGTCTAAAGCGTAAATTGCGTGAGCTTTACCTTTAAAACTTCCAATACCTTTCTTCAAATGCATGTAAAGCAGACTTTTTAAAACCCAGAACTTATTTGGGACTTAGGAAGAAACATATCAGTTTCATTCTTGAAATCCTAAGTATGACAGTCTCAACATTAACCTTAATACACTTTTTTAAAAAGTTTGATTAATTTCCAATCTAAGAACTGTATGGGAAAAGTTTTCTAAACTACCCTTCATGTTCTATAAAAACATCCGAAACAGAATCAAACTGGTTTATAGCCAGTCTTTAATACTGTTATATCATAGCCAGAAAAAACTTTCTAACTAGCTCCTCAGGTATGTTACATGCACAAATAAACACAAGAGTTTAATAAAAGTGCTTTTGTATAGTGGTTAATGAATTTTAGTTGGAAAGGCATACTTTTATCACTATTCTCATGATGATATCTTTTATGTCAGTAAGACCAAATTGGGAAGCATTAATTCACTGGGGTTAATAGTTAGAAGATAAGATAGGTGTCTTGGTCTCTCACATGACTGTAAAAAAGTGAATTCTGTACCTCCTTTAAGAAATGGAAACATTAACATCAGCACAGAATTTGAGACATGAAAATGAGTACAAAATCAAGCATCGATTTTTCATATCAAAAAATACTACTGTGGGATTGATTGCATTTTCTACTTTTCCCTAACTCATCTAACTAAACTTAATTATTTCTTGAAAACCATGAACTAAAATGGACATGCTAAAGTCTAGGTTCACAAGTTGAGGTTCTGACTGAGTAAGCTGTGTGGCTTCTCTTTCTAGAGTCATTATATTCTAGGTACCCCTCAAGGTTTGAATCTGAAAGAGGAAAGTTGTAAGGAGTTATTCGAATTAGAACTAAATTCAACAACACTGAAATGTTGGCATGAGCGCTTAAGAGTCCAAAAGAAAATTATCCTAGTTTGGATAATATACATATGTGTGTATGACATATACATATACACACATATATGATGTATTGTAAGCATGGAGTTCAGAAGTTATTTTTCATCACAATTATTTACCCTTTTAGTTTTATCAATTTATTCCAACAACAATTGCTTAGGTGGTTAGTTTTCTAAAAGAAAACACACATCGGACACTTAGAATTTGCATTCCAAGAAAGTTTTAAATGTCCTTATTGTCCAGATCTGTTCAATATTAGTGGTGTTCCACTTGGTTCTGTTTGTTTATCATGGAGCATGGCATTAATAGGACAACTGCTGGATGCCGAAGCGATTGCTCCTGCTGGCTAAAAAA